GGTGTGACTTTATGGAGATATTTTGAAGTAAGAAGCAGAATCTAAAATCAATGTGATATTTCACAGGAAACCAGTGAAGTGGTTGAAGAGCAGTAGTAATGGGTTCGATTAATGACACAAGCAGCTGAACTTTGCACCAGCTGAAGTCTATGGAGATATTTGTGTGGTAATCTAGACAGGATAAAATTATAATAATCCATATGGAATATAACCAGAGCTTGTACAAGAATAGCAGTAGTGTTATCTGCGGGGAATGATAACTAATTTTATGTAGCTGGAAATATGATGACCAAGTAATAATACTGATAAGTATTTCAAAGTTTAGTGCTCTATCAAGAGAAACATCTCCTCAGCTCTGAATAACAATGTATGGTCATACAATGTACTATATGGATTATCTGCCACATGCTGTGGGATCATAAAAATTATACTACTGAAAAGGGCATAAAGGTATTACACTGCACGGTGCAGTAACACTGAGGTGGAAAATTTCTGGCTTCACCAGATTGGATAAAGGCTCCATAATATCCAGAATTAGCTGCAGATGTAGAGAGACGTGTTCTTAAGAACAACATGAGACATAACTTTGTGACAAGATTAAGATTTAAGAGCAATATAAAGGGATAGATATATGGAAAATATTCTCAGAAACTGTGGATTTTGCCTTGCCCCACTTCTTTTAGAGAACAAGGGTTTGAATTTCATTTAGGTTTTGTGTATGTTGAGCCTAATTAAACTGATTCCTAGAAACAGTTTTGGGGTATTTCATAAAATATTTTGTTCCAGACGTTGGAGGACCAAATAATCTCTTTTGTGAAGAACGAGCTGAAGAACATCAAGACAGGTCTGAGTCCAGATGACCTACAATGTTTTAAGAGTCAATGTGAGGATGAGGCTGTATTACAGAGTGTGGATGAAGAACACAGTACGAGCAGAAGAGAAGCTTTTGTGATGATTACAGTGGACTTCCTGAAGAGAATGAAGCAGATTAAGTTCGCTGAGTGTTTGCTGAGAGGTGAGCATTTTTCTCTAAATAAAAAAACATTCTAAAAAAACATGCTAAAACATTCAACAATATTTCAAGTAATAGAAAAAAATACATTCAACATATGTGATGAATCATTGATTTTGTGTGTGTCACTCAGGAACCTGCACTCGGAACTTCCAGCGGCATCAACATGAATTTAAATCTAACATGAAGAAGAAGTTCCAATGTGTGTTTGAGGGGATCGCTAAAGCAGGAGACCAAACCCTTCTGAATCAGATCTACACAGAGCTCTACATCACAGAGGGA